GGGTGCTACAGGAAGGCGGCCTTGGCCCCCACGTCCTAGCATCTGATTTTGGTTTATTTTGTTTTCTTTGACATCTACTCGTTTTTGAGAGAGAGAGAGAGTGCGCGTGAGCAAGCGGGGGAGGGGCAGAGAGGGGGGAGACCCCGGATCCAACGTGGGCTCGATGGCGGGGCCTGAACTTACAAACCGTGAGATCATGACCTGAGCCACAAAGTCAGTCCACCGACTGAGCCACCCAGGTGCCCCTAACTTTGGTACTTGATTGAAAAATTATCTTATTGTCGTAAAATGCCCACCATGTAAAACTTGCCTTATTCACCATCTCCAAGCGCACAGCTCTCTGACATCAGGCACACCCACGCTGTCATGCAGCCACCCCCACCCTCCATCTCCAGAACTTTCCACCTCCCCAGACTGAGACTCTTTCCCCATGAAACACGGACTCCCTGCCCCCTGCCCCTCCCCTGGCTCCCACCGTCCGCTCTCTGTCCCTGTGGACGGGACTCCTCTGGGGACCCCCTGTGCGTGGGGTCACGCGGGACGTGTCCTTCTGTGTCCGGCTCCTGTCACTGCGCACGGTGTCCTCCGGGTCCGTCCACGCGGCGGCAGGCGGCAGGACGTCCTTCCTCCCTGAGGCTGGATGATATCCCAGCGTGCGGATGGACGCTTGGGGTGTTTCCATCTTGTGGCCGTCGTGAGCAACGCAGCAGTCCACGGCCGGAATTTTGAGCGTGGACCCGAATCTTAGTCGTGTTTTTCGTCCCCGGAATCAGGGCCGTAGACCTTACTGGCAAGGATGCGGGAGTTTTGCGACTAAGACGGGAAGCCACGGGCTGCGCACGGCGGTCGGATGTGCCGTGGCACCAGCAGGCTTTCTCCTGTGTCGAGTTTGTCCTTTCCCCCAGGCGCCCGACGCCATCCGTCAGGGGTGCACGCCCACCAGTGCTCGCATCCCTGTGTGCGGGGTCCCGGCCGGGTGCCTGGCGGCTCCGCTTGTGAGAGCGGGCGACTGGCTCTCCCAGGCTGGTCCGCTGCTCCGCTCTCCCCACCCGGCTTTCTTCTCCAGCGGTCGCTCGGTTGAGAATCGAGTTGGAACCCAGACGGAAATCTGGCTCAGGGCCAGAGATCCTTCCTTCCCTTCCTCCCTGTCTCCCCACCAGCACACGTTTATGGAGCACGTACTACACGTGGGGGTCCTGTGCTTGGTGCTGGTGGGGACTGTCTGGTCCGTGTCCCACAAGGACATTCGTGGAAGATGATTTCCGGAAGGTGGAAGGTGCCATTTTTAGGCGAGTGAGAGCGGAGGAGTCTGCTTCAGCAGATCCTGATCTCACGTTTGTGAGTTTGAGCCTTGCTCGAATAGGCTCAGTGCTGACCGATGGAAACCCGCCGGATCTACCTCTCCCCTCTCTGCCCACCCCCTGCCCCCACCACCTTGTGCTCTCTCAAAAAAAAAAAAAAAAAAAAAAAAAAAAAAAAAGACAGGTAGGGTGAGGGCCGCTTCTGACATTCGAGGGTCATCAAGGAAGGGCCCTCTGAGGAGGCGGCCCAAGCCGAGGCGTGAGTACCAGGAGAGCCAGAGGACAGAGCTGAGGGGCAGCGCGACCTCAGTACCGAGGCCTGGAGGCCAGGACGAGCTTGGAGTCCGTGAGGAGCCCCCCCGGGGAGGCCAGGCTAGAGGTAGAAAGCGAGACCGACGGTCAGGAGGGGCCTCCGGACCCTGTGAGACGTCGGTAATTGTCGCTGGCTCCGTCCTGGGGACGCGGGCGGCTGGCTCGGACGGTGCCGCTCACCCCCCGCTGTCTTGCAGGATTGCCTGGACAGATCCTTCCGGGCGCAGGTGTTCAGCTGCCCGGCCTGCCGCTACGACCTGGGCCGGAGCTATGCCATGCAGGTGAACCAGCCGCTACAGGCCGTCCTCAACCAGCTCTTCCCCGGCTATGGCAGCGGGCGGTGATCCTCAAACGCTTCTCGCCGGTAGTGTTTTTTTTGGGAAAAAAAAAAAACAAAAAAACAAAAAAAACGTGTCACAGGGGTCTTGGCCCCCTCTTTTGTTTTTAGTGGGCTTAACTTAAACAGGTAGCTTTTCCTCCACTCCCTAAAAAGCCTCGTCTTCCTGGTTTTTTGTTTTGTTTTGTTTTGTTTTGTTTTAACCTACACATTTCCCGGAGTTTGTATTACGGCTCGAAGAAAGAAGGAAAGAAAGTTGGACTTCTCAGTGTTGTGTTTTGGTTTTAGAAAAATACAAAGCCTGCAGTTTATCAGCAGAACAACAAACACAAACAATTTTTTCCGAAGATGGAATTCAAAACGCCTTGGCGCGAAGGCTGCTCGTGTTCCCGGCGCCAAGTTCCCAGAAGTTCCCGCCGCCGCCGAGCCAGAAGGCGCCCGGCCGCCCAGAACAATCTTTTTCAAGGTGCGTGGCTTCGGCCTCCGAAGTTGAAAGCGAGCGCATCTCCCTGACCGCGCGTCCTGCCGCCTAGAAGCCAGCAAGGCAGCGCCTGCTGGCGGCCCGGGGGTGGCCGGCCCCACCGTCACCCACGGGGAGGGTGACAAGAAGCGAGGAGCCCCCTCCGGCCCCGAAGCCATCCCCCAAGTTTGCTTTCACGTGGCAGCCGCCCCACGCAGAGCCCTCCTCCCCCGGGGTGAGCGGACAGGAGTCGCCCCGAAGCCGCCGCCCCCGGACCTCCGCACGGGGCTGGGCGGGCGGCCGAGTGCCCGCTGTCTCGTCTGCCGCGCCACGGAAGCGGACGTTCGAAGCCATGTTCAAGTGCCTTTGGGTCTTTTCTTCTGTTGGAAACGTGGGGCTCTCTTTTTAGCACTGAATTGCCGAAAATGCCAACGAGATCCTAAAACTGTGGTTAACCTGTTCTTCCCGATAGCGGGTGAGTGTTTGGGGGAGATTTCTTTTTTGTCCATCCTTTCCACTGAATCTTCAACTCCCCGATCGAGAATTCTAAGAGGGAATTTTTTTTAAGTACTTTTTTTCTGAATGAAATTTTTTTGTAGTTATTGTATATGTACCAAGAAAACTATAACTTAGGGTTTGGTTGTGTTTCTGGTTTTGTTTTGTTTTGTTTTCTTTTTTGGTTTTGTATTTTTTTGGAATGATTTGTTAATTTTTCTAACTTTACCAAAGTTTGCAGCTTTTACCTCAATAGAACAGGAATATTTTAAATCCCATAACTGCAGACAAACTGGAGTGGTGTCGTTTTAAAAAGTCTTTCTTTTTTCCTTATTATTAGGTTGTTAATGTATTAGGAAGAAACAGCGAAATCCTGTGTAGGCTTTTTCTAAACAGTTCAATATTCTTTGTCCAAATTTTAGATTCTTGGAATAAATGCCTTTTACAGATGCATTGGGTTGTGTCTTCTGTCGGCGAATGGTTTTGTGGTCTGCCAGGCGGGGACCTCTTCGGTTCCCCGTATTTCGCGTTCTGTTCACGAAAGCCCCAGGAAGACAGGCCTGGCAGGTGGCATCCGTCCCCTCCAGAGGAGAGGACGGACTGACGACAAGGCGGTGTGCCGTGACTGGGCTGGGACTTTTACAGGGCCCACCAGCCCGAGCCAAGGGGCCACATCCAGCCTTCCGGCTTGGAACCAGGGCTCACTTCCTGCTCCCCAAGGTCAGTGGTACTGTTCCCGTTTACGTGTGAGGAAACGGACAGCCACCCCCTCCATTAGGAGCTCGGCCTGAAGTCACATGATCCTAGAGAGGTCTCTGCGGGCCAGGGGGCTACTGACACGCTCTCTTGGCTCCAGCAGAAGTTGGAGGTCAAGGATGGTGACGGGTTAACCATCAACTGCAGGGAAGGGCGCAGCTGAATCCTGCAGAGGGAAGAGTTTCCGCCCACCTGGTCCCCACACCTTTCCTTGACGCGGGCCGCGCTGACTTGATAGCCAGGAAGACGTTCTGCCCCGTTTGGTCCTCGCGATGCATCACGTGTGCCCTTGAAAGCATGCTGGGTGGGGGCGGGGCAGAGAGCTAAAGGGGCCCGGGCTGCCTCGCGGGGCGAGGGGAATGTTCTAGGTTTGCTGATGGTTGTGCTCCTCTGCGGAAACACTCAAGTCCTTCGTTGCAACACTTCTTGCATGGGTCATTTTCGTGGTGTGTCAAATGTCAACTGTGAACGCGCAGAGGAAGTGCCCCAGACGTGCCCCAGGCCGGCCCCCCAGCCCCCAGGGGCAGAGCACACGGAGGTGGGTTCGCTGTCGAGACTGTTGGCTTTTTGGACGTTCCTCTCATTTTAGAAGTTACGAATAGGGGCGCCTGGGTGGCGCAGTCGGTTAAGCGTCCGACTTCAACCAGGTCACGATCTCACGGTCCATGAGTTCGAGCCCCGCGTCGGGCTCTG